TTCTCCTGGGATTTGGGGCACATACGCACAGGCGTTCAGCGTAATTTTTAAGCCACCAAGCAAGTACAGGACTCAAATCACGGTTGGCCATGTGGGAGTCCAGCACCTTAACCACCACGCCACCTGCTGGCCCCATTAATACCTTTCAGAGAACATGCGTGTGCTTCCTACGCTCCAGGCCTCTCTTCTCGCAGGTGTGCAGCTGGTCCGTAAATATCCATTCAGGGCCTCCCAAGTGCCAGGGAAACACAGAAGAGAAGGATCTGACCCATGCCCTCCAGGAGCAAATGGGGAGATGAGGCCCTTGAGTAATTACAACGCGGGGCAGAGGGCATGTGACAGAGCTCAGAACACTTTCCACTGCAACAGGGGATGCCAGGATTGCTAAAGCATGGAACTGGAGCTTCCAAGGCAAGGCTAAGAGAAGGGCAAGACCACCTCGGCAGAGGAAAGGCCAGTCGGACGGCACAGAGCAGCTGGCATGCTGGCATGAAGTCAGGGAGAAATTCAATGTGGTGAGTATTAGGCCAGCTCTGTGGCCTGGTGCTTAAGGCAGCTGGATCCCGTAGGGTTGAATACACAGTTCAAATCCTGAACTCAGCAGTTTGAGAGCCACGCTGGGCACTCGTGGGAGCCTGCCCAAAGTCCCAAAAGGAAGGGGAAATGGAGAAGAGGGATTGGAGCGCCACCATTCCCCATGGAAGTTGGGGTGCTTTCTCCTCTTCCTCTCTCTCCAGCCCTCTCACAAAGAAACTTTTAAACATAAAAATTCTGGAATTCCCCCTTCTCGGATTAGGCCCTTTGTAGAAAGGAATCAACTTCTAACTTTGAACTTGGGCAGGAAAGTCCTAAAATCTGATAGCTCGTTGTTTTCACCACTATTAGCATAGCTCATGATCACAAACATGCCTCTAAGTAACCACGGCAGGGTGCCGCTGACGGTGTGCTGGTTTGAGTCCCAGACCTGACAGTTTGCTTTCTCTCTAAAATTTACAATTAAAATTTAAATTAAAAATTAAATTAAAAAATAACAGTAACAAATAGAATTAAGGAAGTAAACCATTCTTTTTTTTTTTTTAAAAAAAAAGCATGCCACAAGACAGTCACCCCACATTACAGAACCTGAGGAGAAATACAGTCAAATAAGTAGGCCCAGTTTAGTCCTTAGGTTAGAGAAGCAGAGGGGAAAGAACTGACCCTGACCCCAGCACAGGGCTTTCTCATGCGAGGGCAGACACCCCTCCGTATCTACAGCCTTGATTCCAGGACCCCAAATCTGCAGGTGCTCAAATCTATCATATAACAGGGGCTTGTATATTACCTGCATGCACCCTCCCACGTAACAGATTGCTTACCATACCTAATACGATGTGTATGCCGTGTAAATGTTGTCCTACTGTATTGCTTAAAGAATAACAGGGACAGGGATCAGCAGGTAGCATGGTGGTTAAGGCACTGGACACTCCCAAATGGCCAATCACAGTTCGAGTCCCAGACCTGATGGCTTGCTTTCTCACTCCCCCCTCTCTGTGTGTATGTGTGTGTCTTTCTCTAGTCAAATTAAAATAAACTAAATGAATGACAAATCAAAATTTAAAAGTCAATAATTCTTTACAAAATAAAAGAATAAAGAATAGGGACAAAAGTCTGTACAGGTTCAATACAGGGGCGACCAACTTTATTTTTCAACTACTTGTCATCTGCCGTCAGCTGAATCTGCAGATATGGAGCCCAGAGAAAAGGACAGCCAATTGAATTCCCCTGCAAAAGCTTCTTTCTCCAGTCCCTGAGGCTGGTGGCTTTAATATCACCTCCAGAGCATCTTCCTCCAGCCCTCACCTGCACTGCCAGGCTTCCTCTGAGGTCAGAGGGCAGGAAGCTGCAGAGGGTCAGAACCCACCCGCCCCTTGCCACTCAGTCTCCCAGGCTTGTGCGTGTCACATGGCCCCTTCACACACCACTACTGCAAGCGGCCCGTTCCCTGTTTGTTGTTACTGACTCCCATGCAGTCTGTCTAGATGCCTGTCTCTGCACCTGCCTGACTGCTCCTGAAATCATGGGTGCTTCAAAGGCAGAGGTGAAATCTTACTCCCCACCCCACCTGCACCCCATAGCACCACACTCAATTCAACCAATACCATCAGGAAACACTGCGATTCCTGAGGTCCAGAAGTCGAAGGAGGCGGGTAGAACTTAAAGAACATAAAGTAGAACTTAGCTAAAGACTAGAAACAGAATGACCATGTGATTTATAGTCCGAGTCCTGACACTTGGGAGAGTAAAGGGGTCGTTATTCATAACCGGCAGGGGCAACCTAGAAACCAGGTCTGTCCCGGGGAAAAACAGGAGCAAACGGGCCACCCTTACTAAAAAGGTCAAAAAGATGTTGGTTGTTCTGCAGTACCAAGAGGGGTGCCCCACACCCCTTTAGTCACTGATTCTGGGGTATGCGGTCTGAAGGGCCTGCTCTGGAAAGCCCAGCGCCAGGAAGTTCTTCCTTTTATCTGACTCAAATCCGTATGATTCAAGGTAACCCCACTTGTCATTAACCTCAGAGCAACAGACAAAACAGCACAGGAAGGCAGTCACAAAGAAGAAAAAACAAGACCAGTTGGTGGCACAGGAGTAGAGGGGTTAGATCCCACATGGCCAATTATGTGGTTCGAATCCCAGACCCGGTGGCTTAAAAAACACACTGGGCAAGGGATTGCAGTGAGGCCACCTCTCACGGGAGATGCTTTCTTACTTTCCCTCTCTCTCTCTGATAAGCACACACGCCCTCTGGCAAGTTGAAATAAAGAAAGAAATGTCAAATAATCTCTCTTTCTGTCTCTCTGTCTCTCTGTGTCTCTCCAGTGCACACACAAGCCCAATCGCAAAGATCTCTCTAAAATAATTTAAAAGGAAGAAACAAACATGCCTAGCATTACGGCTCATCCTTGGGCAAGACCCCCTCAGCATAAGCTCAATTGCTCTCTCTCCATCCCTCAGCAGAGCCAAACTCAGTCCGGCTGGCCCAGAAACACAGAAACACAAAAGCCCAGGCCTTTGGAGTCGTTCCCAATGAGAGCAGAGTTCATCTCTCACTTGCCCCCAAGCCCCAGGGGCTTTTCACAAACCAAACCCAGGAAGAAACGGCACCTGTTCAGGTGCCTTGCACTGAGACCAGAAAGTGCTTTCTTCCACCAAAATGATCACTGTTCTAGGAGAGAAGGAGTCCCGGCCTCCTCCATGGCCGGCCCCAGGGCAAGCACAGACCAGAGAGTCTGCAGAGCCAGCCCCCTGGGGAGACGGGAGGAACAAGGGACCCTCTCTTCCTCCCTCTGCCACCCTCCATTGGCCCTAAGCTGGCGTCTCCAAGCAGGCAGACTTTGCTGACTTCTTTTTAACATCGCCAAAAAGAACTTTCGGACAGGGGTTGGGGGAAAGGATCCTGCTCAGGACTGAGCACGAGCTACAGCTGCCTGTGCCCAGGTAACTGGATGCCCTCAGATCCTCCACTCCTGCCCTATTACATACGTCTGACTTTAGGAAGGAGGTTTTGGGGGTTTTATTATTATTATTACTATTATTTTATTTAACTTTATTTATTTATTTATTTAAATATGACCAGAGAGGGACAGGGCAGGGGGAAGAAAGCAAGCCGCCAGGTCCAGGACTTGAACTGTAGTCGGCCACATGGGAATCCAGCACCCTTAACTACCACACCACCTGCCGGCCCCAGACAGGAGGTCTTTAAGGAGCACAGTGTGAAGATAGGATAAGTCGATCACCCAGAGGTCACCAACAATGCAGACAGAAACAGAAGAGCAGGCAACCCTTCCCAGATGACCTTGGATCAGTCATTTCACCTTCCAGAGCACTGGCTTCTCCACCAGTGAAATGACACTGGGGTGACACAGTTTACATCGGCTTCTCCACCAGCAAAATGACAATAGAGTGACACAGTTTACAACACGCTCTCTGCTCCAAAGGTCGAACGTTTCCTTTCATATATTTCCTGAAGAATTAGCTAGAGCAAAAATCGGGCAAGAAATGCAGAACTTGGGCTAAGCTTTTCATTTCTACTTGACAAGGAAGAAAGAACCTGCACTGTGAACCCCCCTCACTGGACCCACTTTCTCCACCACCCCCCCTTCTGGTTGTGCTGCCGTCAATCCTACCGCAGGACTGGGCGACTGGCGAGCAGTAACACAGCCAAAGCCAAATGAATTTTGCCAATGCTGATAACACAAACCTACAAACTCAGCCTGGCCTTCCTAGCAGTAAGTCCAGTCCTAAAAAAAGTGAAATTCATGGTACTTGGGACCTAATCAACCCACTGCCTGGCTGGAAATAAATCACGTCCTGAATATTACCACCCACCAAATTTCCCGCAGTCTTTTCAAATCCCCAAGTGCCACAAAGGTATTACTGTGCAAAATAAAAGTCAGTAGCTTGGAGGGGGTTGGAGGAAGAATAGCTAGAACCGCACACCCCCATCAAAAAAAATCAATAATTAAAAAATTCAGCCCTTGCACGCACGCACCTCTTGTTTTGACTGTACAAAGCCAGTCGCCCAGCTTTCGGATCTGCCCACCTTCACTGTGGTTAATAATGGGAAGCGCGGACCCCCCCTCCCCCGCGGGGTGCTCGCCTCCGCGGCCAACTGATGCTACTAAAGAAAGCCTGTTTTGAAGCGAGATGGAAAAACGAGGCTGTACCCATCCTGTACCTGCCGGAAACTACACGGGTCGGCACAAACCCAGGGCGGGGGGACGGGGGGACGCACTGCACCCCGCGAGTTACCTGGAATACGTCGGCGAAAACCGACAGGAAGGAGGAGAGATCAATGCGATTCAAGTGCGGACGGTTGTACTCAAGTGAAGGGGGGGGGACAAATGCCAGCCAGGAAGTCCCCAGCGGTGCCTGCACCTGGGAGGCGACCGCGGAGGATGGATGCGGGGGCGAGGAAGTGCAGCGCGAGGGGGGAGCCGGAGGGCGGCTGCGAAACTGCTCACCTGTCCGTACACCTTGATGGGCTCGGGCTGCAGGGCAGCGCTCCGTCTCCTCCGGAGCGGCTTCTCGTCCGCCCGGCTGGCTCCTCGGGCATCCCCGCGCGCCCACAGCCGCAGCTCGCGCGGGTCGCCCTGCACCACGAGGAAGCCGCGGTCCTGGGGCAAGGGCGCGCGGACGCCGTGCAGCCTCTGCGTCCAGACCTCGCAGAGCGCCCAGGGCGGCAGCAGCGCGACCAGGGTGAATAGGAAGGGGAGTCGCGACTCCCTCCTGCTGCTCCGTGTCGCCATGTTCGGGCGCACGCTACCGCAGGTGGCGCCGCCGCCAGGAGAGAATGTGCAGCGCGAGGCCGAGAGAGCGGCTGGGCCGGGGCC